GCAGTTGTGTGTCACCTGCGAGAACAACCCACCTCACTGGGCCTCAGCCTTCCCCTGAAACCCAAAGGTCTGGGCTTGCTGGTCTACCCTCAGCTCCTTCCAGCTCTGGCTCAGCAAGGAGGGGAGAAGCTTGCTGGGAGGGGGAATGCAGAGGTCGCGAGGAGGCTGTGCATGAACCTTGGGATGCACCCAAGAATGCTGTGGGCAGCTGCTAGAAACACCCAGGTACAGAAGCACCAGCAGGAAGCCTGATTCGTTGCCACCTCTCAGCCTTTCAGTCCGCCCCATGGGATTGCTCTTCCCTGCTCCTTGCATGAAATTTTGTATGAGCACTTTACGAGCTCAGTCGTGTATCTGAACTGATCCATGCCAGTCTTAACATTCTCCTAGAGTCCCCAAATGGCAAGTGGTTGGGGGTGAGGGCTCTAGTCCCCCACAGGAATAGAGGAATACCCAGGAATAGATTAATGTTCCAGACTCTCATACCAGTATTTTTTTTTTCCAAACAATATGTTTCACATATTTACTAAGAAATTAATCCACTTGTGCGCAGCAGAGAACCCAGAATTTCCCCAATAAAACATGTTCAAGTGTCCACATTTTCAGCTGGATACATCATACTGATATTTTTAATAGCAATATTTAATAGCAAAGGAGAGGAACACTGTGAAATTTATTTGGATTAGTATGTAGATCTAAGGGTCATGTTTTCATAGAAACAAATAATTTCCCCAATAAAACATGTCCACGTGTCCACATTTTCAGCTGGATACATCATACCAATATTTTTAATAGCAATATTTAATAGCAAAGGAGAGGAACACTGTGAAATTTATTTGGATTAGTATGTAGATCTAAGGGTCATGTTTTCACAGAAACCATTCTTGGCAAATTTTAGGCAGCAAGGGAAGATTGAAATGCAATTGACTGCTGGCTTGCCTCGTGCATCTGTGAGACTGTCATTACAGAGGCAAACTCTGGTCCTTAGAGAAGCACTTGGAATGGACTCAGCAAATTCACTGGCATTTCCAGCAGCGACCCATTCTTCCTTTCTAACAGACTGCTGTTGCAGAGGGACTCATAACTTTGTTTTCCCCAGCTAGCCCTCCAAACTATATGACGAGGTACAGTTTGAGCAATGGTAAATATTTAGAACCAGCTGTACAGGAGTTTTTGACAGAGGTTTGTTTTTGGAAATTCAAATTCACATGATTAGAAAATATCCAATATGAAATTTTAATTCAAATATTTACCCAAGAGCCACTTTTTAATATTGCTTGCTTGCTTTTCTTTTCCTAGAAAGGCACACTATCTGTGTAAATATGCAATTTGATTCAGGTTAAGTAGGAAACGTGACCTTAGAAGTTTAACAAATGATTTGAGAATATTTTGTCCTTAATTGTTCCATGCCAAAACATTACATTTTATAAGTGTCATATGAGGAGTCTTCAAAATATCATCAAAAGATTCATATTATCTTTTAATCCCACTTTTCAATGAACTTTTTGAGGTACCCTTGTATTTTTTTAAATGACTTTCATATTTTTACAGCTGTTTTTCTCCCCATTGAACTCCATTTAATGCGCTCATGATAGCTTACCACAGGACATGTTTGTCGGTATTAAATCTGTATAAATTCCTATTCAAAGTACGTTTAGGCTATTTTGTCAACTTGAAATTAGGTCATTATTTTCACCAGAGAATAGGATATGCCAGAATGTTGACTTTTAGTATGCTGGATGGATCCTAGTAGAGAAAGTGTTAAATTATATTTTCTCATAATATTAACAAATATTTCCTAGCAGCAGTCAGGTATAAAACAGATGAACTATGCTGAAAATGGATGTATGTTCATGTCATATACACTTCATGAAAAGTATATGGTTAATTTTATGTTTCAACTTGACTGGACTAAGGGGTGCCCACATAGCTGGTAAAACATTATTTCTGGGTGGGTCTGTGAGGGTGATTCTGGAAGAGACTAACATTTAATCAGTATACTCAGTAAAAAGTATTGACCTCACCGACACCAGTGGGCATCATCCAATCCACTGAATAGAATGAAAAGACACCACCAGTGGGCATCATCCAATCCACTGAATAGAATGAGAAGACAGAGAAAGGACACATTTGCCCCCTGTTTTCTCTGGAACATTCATCTTCCCTGCCCTCTAACATCCATGTTCCTGCTTCTTGGGCCTTAGGACCTGCACTGGGACTTAGATCATTACCTGTACTGGTTCTCAGGTCTTTGGACTCAGACTGAATTACATCATTGACTTTCTGGACTCTCCAGTTTGCAAACAGATCAGAGAACTTTCCAGCCTCCACAGTCATGTAAGTCAATTCCTTCTATGTCTCTATCTATCTATCTATCTATCTATCTATCTATCTATCTATCTATCTATCTATGTATCTACTGTCTCTCTGGGAAACCCTGATTAATGCAAAATGTACACAACAATTTCCTGTTTTTATAATTTATTTGTTAATTATTAAATCTTCAGATGCTGTAAGAAGCATTTCTCACAATGCCCACCTCATTGTTTGTAAAGCAGTCATATAGTCAAGCCTTCAATTGTCTTAAAAACATTCATTTTCTTTGCTGTATATCAATAATCAAAGTTTCTAAAAATGCATCTATAGTAGCTACATGCTTTTATAAATCAATTTTCTCTGTTCCAGTTGTTCCTCCTTAAATACATGGATAAAGCAATATGTATAAAGAGATTAGTTATTGGGATTAAATTCAAAGTTCTACCAGGAAGTCAAATAAATAATGTATAAGATGTGTGTGTGTGTATCTGTATTCATGTTGTATGTACCAGTATGTGAATTGATAATTTTTCCCAATCACTGATACCAAACAAATTACCAAACAATTTA